AACATCTAAAAACAAATGGATGAAGGAGATTACTTCACACTTGAAAAAATGATAAGCAATTGCTAATAATTATTAACAGAATATTACAATAGTATACAGGCTTTAAGACAAATGTGATATATATGTAGCAACCAACATTAAAAGATAGGCTATTTAATGAAAAACTCATCAGATGAAACTGTCTTCTACACCGTAACTTAAAAAAAATCTGTCAATCAAAAAGTAATTTACAGAATTCAATACTTTCTTCAGTCTCCAGATGAAAAGCCAAAAGAAAGAGTGCATGTTTAATGGATTGTGAAATATTGTAATAGGATGCAGCCAAGGGGGGCCCAAAGTAGGAATTTGTAATGGGGTCCAGAACTCAGAGTGTCCAGGAAATATTTAAAAACATATATATATGATGTCCTTGCCCCCACAAATCTGAGCTGAGGGATGGGACACATGGAGCAGGCCATTGAGAGCTGTTTTGCATAGCAACAGCTTTGCGGATAACCTCTAGAATGGTAATTTAACATGTCTATAACCTTTAACTCATTTCATGGATACATTAAACAGCTGTGGCCAGGATTTCAGCCAAGAGGATGGGAGTTACTTCAACCCAGGCTGTAACTGGGATGCAACTCCCCCTGGTTACAGAGCCTGCATAAAAACTTGGAGATGAGTGGCATCACAGGGCCACACCTGCCCAGACTTACTGTGGCAGCCCAGTAAAGCTAGAAAAATATGGGAAGGCTGGCAGCTGTAGCCAATTGTGGGAGGAGTCAGAAATGGTGTGGCAGAAGGGTCTTTTGGGGACCATGTGGCTTGGGCAGAGAAGAACCTCTATTTTTTTCCTCTGAGATATGGTACCCTGGTCAGGCAGAGGGGGAAGGAAGTGTAGGGCACAGGTTTGTCTTGGCCTGGCAAATGTGACTCAGCTCTGTATGGAAAACCTACAGGTGTGAAGTGGTGGGCAGAACCCAGACTTGCAAACCGAGTTTTCCTGTGGGAATCAGGCCTGGAAAATGCTTACAAATTGTTATGGCTTGCTCTTGCTAAAACTCCCTCACCCTGGTCTAAAGCAACAAATGTGCATTGTCTATCTTCAAGGTAATTTCCAAAGCCTATGTGAGCTCTCCCAAGGACAGAGCTAATCAGCTCATTGCCATCCCCCTCTGCATGTTATTTTCATTTCCTTGATTGTACCTAGAATGTAGACAATAATATTCTATGTGATAGATAATAAATCTTTCTTCGATGTAAAACCCCAGGAAAACAATAAAAGCCTATCTAGGCAAGGGTCGAGGCACTCCTCTCTTGAGGGAGTGGCCGAGGCACCGTAGGCACTCTCCCCTTGAGAGAGCAGCTGTGCCGTTCCCTCTTTCCACACAGGATTGTTGTCACCTGTGCATTGATTCTCATCGTCAGCCACAACAGGCGGACTCTGCTAGACAGGGTCTGCCACAAGGAAGGACTGTGCATTTGTGGGTATTCTAAGGGACTTTGGAATCTCAGTGAAGACATTAAGTCATTACTCTTAGGTCTGTATCACTCTTTAAATAAATAACTCCTTTCCTTTTCACCAATCTCTGGCATTGAGAGATATTTTTTCCTGGTGGCAGACAAGGCAAACCTAGTATGGGGTGGGGGACCCCGGAGCACAAGTGTGGGTCCATTCAGTAATAGTATATCGTCTCCTGCCCCAGATCTGTTCTGTAACAGTATCTTTAAACCCTTTCTGATCATTTTCGAGGTCCCCACAGCAGTGCTTTTCAAGCTCTTAGGTACATCAGCTTCACCTACAGAGTTTGCTAAAACACGTACTGCTAGGACCCCTCCAGAGCAGGTCTGGGGTGGGGGTCCCAGAGTTTGCTTTGCTACCAAGTTCCCAAGTGATGCCCAGTTGCTGAACTGAGGACCATAGCTGGAGAGGCCAGAGGCTCTCAAAACACAATTTCCTTGTGTTTGGGGGGTAATACAAAAGTCCAAAAACTAGAACTTATTAAAGATGGGAGAAGATGAAAAAAAGAAGGAAGGGAAAGACTCTGCAAACCTCACAATCTAAAGGAAAAGAAAAAGTAAATATTAAAGACTAGAGCAGGGGTGTCAAACTCATGTTCACCAGGGGCCACAACAGCCTCGAGGTTGCCTTCAAAGGGCCGAATTTAATTTTAGGACTGTATAAATGTAACTACTTCTTAGCTAAGGGCAAGGAGCTGGGCACTGCTGCCGGGTAGAAACAAGGTGCTGGGCTGGATGAAGCCAGGTGGAGGGCTGGATTGGGCCCACGGGCCTTGTGTTTGCCACCTGTGGACTAGAGTGTCGCCTAGACTGCGGCAAACTGTAGCATTTACGAACTTCCATACGAGTCAGGAAGCGGAAGTCAGATGCTTAATGTAATTCTCAGGACAGGGTTCCTTACCTAGGCATCGAAGAGGCAAGCACACAGGTGATGATTTAGTTACGACTTCTTTTCTTAAAACCCACTTTAAAAGACCTGAATATTACAACTCTGCAATATTACAACTTTGACTTTTCTTTATGAAGGCTATATTTTATTGTTTCTGTAACTATATTCAATTTTGTTCATAAAACATATGCATCATATATTTAAGACAAAAAAATTATCAGTTCAGTTCACTATAAATCTGTCTTCTTTCTTATCAACAGTCTTAACTCTTCTCTCCAATCACTCCCTCCTATAGTCAGAGTATAAATGGCTTAAGTTTCTTTTTTAAAAACATATTGTATTTATTTATTTTTTAGAGAGGGGGAGGGAGAGAGAAAGGGAGGGAGGGAAACATAAATGTGTGGTTGCCTCTTGCATACCCTGCACTGGGGACCTGGCCTGCAACCCAGGCATGTGCCCTGACTGGGAATTGGACTGATGACCCTTTGATTTGCATACCTGAACTCAACCACTGAGCCACACCAGCCAGGGTCTAAGTTTCTCATTCTTGAATGACAACAGCTCTCAAACACAAATTTCCCCTTTGCCTCTGCCTATGGCTATCCTAAGAGCACTTTATACTTTTGTCCTTTCTTTCCTTACTTCTGTAGCACATTAAAATTTAAGCCCAGCTTCCATGACCCTGACCTAAATTTCTATGCCATGTATATTGAAAGACTTCCTAGTTTGGGGGTATTTTTCTCCCAAAGGGGACGAGCTTATTTTAAATTTTCAGTGACGCATTTGACTTTCTGAATTCCCTAGTTCTGTAAAATCCCCTAATTTCATAACTGCAGGGTAATTTCCTTAATTGACCTTGTATAAATGTCTCTTGATCTGTATTACTGGATTCATTTCCTCTCTCTGCCTCATAAATATCTCCTAGAGTGCTGCCCTGGGGCATCTTCTCCTTTCCTTAGCAACTTCCCCTAATGACCTTTTCTATTTTTGTGGGTTTTACCGCAATGTGTCATTTCTATAGTTGTGTCTGCTAGTTGTATATTTCTAATATTAATTCTCTCCTTCAAACTGTATATCCAACTTCCCAGCATACAAGAATATTTTGACTTTCCACAGATATTTTAGGCTGTATCTATCTAAAAAGATATTCACTATCTTTAAGCCCTCTCTTTGATTTTAACCTGAATTTCTGTTTCAATTTGTGTTCCCATCAATTCATTCAGTCACCTAATTCACAAATATGCAAATCATCCTCATCTCCTTTCCTTCTTAACCCAGAGAAACAACATTCAGTTGTGTAAATTATATTCCCAAAAAGAAGGCCCAGCCCTGGCTGGTGTGACTCAGATGGTTGGAGAGTCGTCCAGTAGAGCAAAAATGGCAAGTTCGATTCTCAGTCAGAGCACACATCCACGTTGTGGGTTTGATCCCCAGTCAAGGTGTGTACAAGAAGGCAACAAAGTGATCTCTCTCTCTCTAAGAAATGAAAAAATGTCCTTGAATGAGGATTCAAAAGAAAAAAACAACAACAACAAAAACGAAAAGGAGGACCAGACTATGGGATAGCTCAGAGTTGGCAAACTTTTTTGTAAAGAGCCAAATAGTAAATATTTTAAGCTTCGACACCATATCGTCTCTGCTGCAACTACGCATTTCTACTGCTGTAATGAAAAGAAGCCATAGGCGTAAACAAATGAGTGTGGATTTGTTCCACTAAATGTTTAATTAAAGCAGTAGGTGTAGTTTGTCATTTCCTGGGACTGAGTCAGGGTTGCTGAAACCCAGTGTTATTTTCTACTTAAGGATAACGCGGGCCCAGAATGGGCGCATATATGGCTCTATTGGGCGAGGAACCACCTTGTCTTTAGCACCCCCACCTCTACATTTAATCATCATGTCATTTAAATTTTACTTTCAGAATATTTTCTGAACACGTCTTCTCCTTTCCAAATTCATTGCCATTGCTTATGTTTAGTCCTTCAACAATATTTCAAAGGCTTCCTAATCCGACTGCATATCTTAAAATTCTACAAGCCAAATTGACTTCCTAAAATTCAAATCAAATAATGGGGTCAACTTATATAAAAAAATTCTTATGTCTGCCATAAAAAGCACATTTGATCTCATCTTGTAGTCTCATCTTCCAACACCCTCTCTTTTGAGCTTTATATTCTAATAACAAAAAATCATTTATAGTCCCAAGAAACACAGTTATCTCTGTTTATCAACTGCCCCCTCTGTTTTACTGCCTTCCCATCTTCAAATTTCTACCTGGAAAAGTCTCTCTCAGATTATATAGCTGGCCCAGCTGTCATATTTCTGCATATATTTCCCTATAACAGTTGATAAATTAACCACTTTTTCCTCTTTTCAAGTTCTTATACGCACATCAGTAATTGAACACATTATTCTAAGATATGTCTCACTACATTTTTCTTCTCCCTTTGTAAACCCTATGTTCCTTGAACACAAAGATTTTACTCATCTCTGAGTCTGCATTGCTAAGCTTGGGGCTGGTGGTGTATAGAGGAATCTGAGAACAGCTACTCCCCAAAGCTGCTTCTCAGAGAGACCTAAAATTACAGAGATGTTTCTGTTTTGAATGCAGAAAAAGCTTCCAGATCATTATAGACCTTGGATGGAAATTGCCGACAAACTTTCTCACCTGATTGAGAGTCACCAGCTTCGAGCTCACGTGAACAAGGTATGTATTTTTTATATTTTATTCTTTGACCCCTTCTCCCCGCCCTATTGAAATCCACATGCCACTGTTCTTTCTCAGCATGGTGGAACTGGGTCAACTGACAGAAGGACACCAGTCATTGTCACTGAACTTACAGACAAAATGGTCTCACCCTTCCCAAAGAGTCGGCATCTTATTCCTGATTTGACACGTATTTCCTTACCATTTCCAGAGCCTGCACAAAATAATCCCTGGAGCATATTAGGTACTCAATAAGAATTTGTTTAAAAATGAAATCTGGTTGTAACTTACAGGCAAGCTGATGGGTAAGATCTCTCTGAGAAAGGACAAGCGTAGAAATTCTCAGTATCATTACTCCACGTCACGTGGTCAGTGCTCGCCTGCCTGAGTGAGTCTGCCTTGATTGTACCATAGGGGCCTCACAGAGCAGTTGAGTCAAGACGATTTCTGAGTTTGTAAGGTCAGGGTTGTCAGGTTCTGCAGGAGTAATTGATAAGTCTGTAAATAGCGTATTTTTCAAACTATAAGTGGCATTCCCCCCACCCTCCGCCCCAAATTTGGGAGGAATAATGGTTGTTAGTGCTGCTGTTGAGTTCTGTTTACATTTACATTGGTGAAATACTGTGGTATTTATGTTATTAGATATTTTATTACATTTTTTGCTTCAAATTTTTTCTTATTTTCCTCCTCTAAAACCTAGGTGTGTCTTATGGTCTAAAATACAGTACATATGGGATGAGAAATGTTTTCCAAGAGTATATAAGGAACAGTAAAATTTCTTGGTCCCAGGAAAACTGACATAAACCTGCATGAATACTAACAAGATATAATAGGAAGAATATAGATTCTGATTCTGGAAGACCTGAGTTTGAGTCCTGGTGTTTTCAGTTAGTAGCTCCATAACTTTGAACAAGTTGCTTAACCTCTATAATTCTGCTACCTTATTTATAAAATGGGAGAAATTCTGGCCTCATAGAATTGTCGTGAAGACTAAATGATTTTTGAAATAGGCTTTCCTACTTCCTGTTACATAACAGTGTTGAATACATATTTATACTTCCCACTAGATCTCTTTACATCTGCCTTAGTCTCACAATCCAAAGTGCCATGCGATTTTAAAGATACTACTTCACCGATACATATTTAATGTCTATATTTAAAAATTCATGTTAGCCCTGGCTAGTGTAGCTCAGTGGATTGAGCGCGGGCTTGTGAATGAAAGGATCGCGGTTCAATTCCCAGTGAGGGCACATGCCTGGGTTCCAGGACAGTTACTACCAGGGGATGTATGAGAGACAACCATACATTGATGTTTCTCTCCCTCTCTCCTAAAAAGAAATTCATTTTAAAAGACTTATTGAATGCCTGCTAAGTGCAGTCACGAGATTAGAGACATTGTTAAAGAGATGTAAAGGGACTAGACATTTAGAGCTAATGACCTCCAATTCAAAACAAAGTATAAATGGTTCTTAAAAAATTTTAACATCTGAATTAATTTAAATTCTTAACTAACTATAATTGATGTCTAATTAATTGTATTTATATCTTAAACATAACAGAATATTCTACAAAAGGAACTGTTAGAAAAGTAAGAAAAAACCAACAAACAATAATAGCAATAAGACCCCAAATACATTGAAGAAAAAGTAATTTAGGACATTCCATAAAAAGTTTTCATGAAGCATAAAGCAAAAGTGAAAGAAAGGCCAGTTATCAGAAAAGGTGTGCAAAAAAAGGAAACTGATGATTCATATTTCAGAAACACAACTGTCAGAAGCAGAGTAGTATAGGGAGAGGAAAAGCAAATCTTCAACCATGTACAAATGCCACCTTTTAGATCTGACTTAAGTAATTCCATTAGAAAGACAATGGGGGACGGGTAGGCACACAGATGTCATGGTGAAATTCCAAATTTTCTAGAACACAAAGAAAAGTTTGCAAATTTTAATCATGAAATAATCAAATAAAACTAGATTACACACAGAACAAGACAAGACAGCTTATAAGAGTATTAAAAGACAATTTAACATCTATCTGAATGGCTAAAACATTTTTAAAAATCTGGCAATATCCATAACTAACTGCTGAGGATATGTACCGAAAGAGATGCTTATTCATTTTTCTGGTGGGCATACAAATGATACAGCTACTTTGGAACACAGGTGACAGATTCTTATAAAGTTAAACATAGACCTACCACCTGACCCAGCAATCACAATCCTAAGTGTTTACCCAAGTAAACTGAAAATGTATATTCACAGAAAAGCTTGTGTGTAAATGTTTAGAACAGTTGCAATCATACACACCCAGCCTGAAAATTTCCTTCAACAGGGAAAGGGTTAAACTGAGTATAATGGATTAAATGTTTGTATGGATCCCAAATTTGTACCTTGAAATCCTAACTTCCAATGCATTGTACTAGGAGGTGGGGTTCTTGGGAGGGGTATTAGTCAGGGTTCTTTCAAGAAACAGAACCAGTAAAATATATACCACTAAAATATATACTACTACTAAAAACACATAACTAATAAAATATATACTACTAATGCGACTCATGGATGATATAACTTCTGTATTGTACTCAGGTGGTGAGTACACGACCCTGTGCATTTTTAAAAATCCAAAACTGTACATTACAGAGAATAAATTATATACAGAAGTTAAACAGAATGTTGAGAGGTCCTGGGACGGAATGTAAACAATGACGAATTTAACTGTTAACGATGTAGGACTGATACAGGGTGCAGCCAAAGGGGGCCCCCCCCAGAAAAAGATTTGGAATGGTGTCCAGAATTCAAAGTGTATAGAAATATTGGAGAGACATATAAGATGTCCTCACCCCCCCCCCCCGGGGGAAGAAAGAATGGAGCCAGGCCATTGAGAGCTATTTTGCATAGCAACAGTTTTGGAGCTAACCTCCGGAGGAATGGTTATTTAACATATCTATAACCTTTAACTGGTTTCATAGATATGTTAAATAGCAGTGGCCAAGTTTGGAGCAGAAGGGGGAAGGAAGAAGGAACTAGAAGGAAGAAGGGAGTAGCAGGGACTCAAGATGGAAACTAGGGTCTGGGCTCCGGTGTGAGAAGGCCTGTGTGAGAGCTTGAAAAAGACTGGCTCCAGAACATGAAGAGTCCCCGCTTGGCCAGATGGGGGAGAGCCACGCGGTTTCAGCAGAGTGAGGACCCCCTGTTGGTGAGGTGAAAGAGGGAGCCACGCGGTATTGGCAGGGTGTGGACCCCCTCTTTCCCAGGTGAAAGGGAGGAACCACGCAGCTTTGCCAGAATGGAGATCCCTGCAGCCAGGTGAAGAAGACAGCCACATGTTTTTGGTGGAGTGCGGACTCCTGCAGCTTTGGTAGAAGAGGCCCACGCGGCTTTGGGGTGCCCCCCTTTGGCCGCGGGGCCTGAAAAGCAACAGAGACTTTGACTGGAACTGGGTACAAAGGACTCTTGCCAGTGGACCATGAGAGGGTACCACAGTACTTTGGATTAACTTGAGATCCTGCACAGTGACACAGCTGACGGTGCCAGCGGCCTGCAACACAGACGTGTGCTCTTTTCCTGATTTACGGTACCCGGAGTTGGGACAAGAGGGAAGGGGAGCGCTGTGTGGGTGTAGGCGTATAACCTAAAGGACTTTGATATTTTAGTGGTGGCATTAGGCCTGAATAGCATTAAATAAACATTTTGTTTCCTTTTCACAAATCTCTGGCATTAAGAGATGTGTTTCCAATTGGCGGCGGACAGAAGGGCCCAGTAGATTTCAGTATTTTGGTTTTTGGGAGGGGCCCCTGTTGTACAGCAGTTTTGGGCATCCCTAGGTGGGCCAAATATTGTATTGCCCCTCCCTCGGACGACCTCCTGTTGTTCGGTAACAGGACAACTTCAGGAAAGAGGGTGGGAGTGCAGGGGAAGGATCAGCTGTAACTCACTATGGTAAGTGATGGGACTGGAATCTACAAGGCTAATACAATCTGTTAGGCTGAATCACTGAGCTGTAGTTGGTAAATTTGTTTATCATGGCTACAGGTTAACATGGATACAGGTTAACATTTCTGAAACTACTTTATAAGTATATTTTTCAGAAAAACCTCTAACCAAGAGGAACATCCTCAACTTGGACCTTACTCCTTTACTTTAAGATGGCACTATAGGTAATCAATAGCTCCTTATGGCTACTGAGCACTTGAAATGTGGCTAAAACAAATTGAGATATATATTCACTGAATTTTGAAGACTTACTATAAAAAGACATTACAAAATATCTCAGTATTTTATACTGATGTTGCCTTGATAATATTGTAGATATATGGACCTAGATAAAAAATATTTGAATAAAGTTTCATTATTTTTACTATTTTATTTTTTTTGTATTTTATTTCATCTTTATTTTATTTTTTCCATTACCTTTTAGGACCCTATCTCCCTTTCGTCCCAGCAATCACCACACCGTTGTTCCCATCCATGGATCCTTTTTCCTTTTGGTTTAATCCCTCTTCCCCACCATTCACAAGCTGTCACCCTGCTCTCCATCTATGAGTCTGTACATATTTTCCCTGTTAATTCAGTTTGTTAATTAGATTTCACATAGGCATGAAATCATACAGCATTTGTTGTTCTCTGAATGGCTTATTTCACTTAGTAAAAAAAGAAGAAAATTTTACCCTTTGCAACAGTATGCATGGATCTTTTCACTATTTTTAACATGTGGCCACTAGGAAACATAAAATTATACCTGTGGCCTCCACCTGTCTATTGGACAGCACTGACAGGAGGGGGCAGAGCTGCCAGCACAACGGAAATGTTGTCACCGGTGGGCACAGGTAACCAGGTTCTTGGTGATCGGGACAAAGAATTGAACTGAACACCCAGAGTTTATAGCAGAGAACATGGAAGCAGGCCAACTCCAAGCAGAGATTGACCTCATGGGCTGGAGGGACTCTATTCGTATAGGGCGGATACTTCCTAGCTAGTCCTGGCAGGCTTGTACTGTGCAGGCTTTACAAGTAGTTGCACAGCTACTGCACATGTGGTCTCCCATGGTTTACCTGGATTGGCCGCCAGGGAAGGGGGTCCCACAATGTTACCTAATTGACCCCCCTTCTCCTGGGGTCCCCCTGTACTAGGTTCGCCTTTCCCTTTGCCAGAGAATTGTAGCTCTCCATGTTAGAGATTGGTGAAAAGGAAAGGAATCATTTATTCAATTTGTACAGACTTAAGAGTAATGACTTAATATCTTCATCAAAATCCCAAAGTCCTTTAAAACACTCACAAACACACACAGTCCTTCTTTCCCCCTTTGCCCAGTCCAAGGTACCGTATCTCGGGAAAGGAAATAGAAAGCTGTGTGGTGGTTCTCTGCTAAAGCTGCATGGTTCTCTCTCAATGGCTGCCGCATCTGTGTTTAAATCCCTGTGCCAATCTTCCTCTGCAGCCCCATTTCCGACTCCTCCCACAATTGGCTATACTCGTCAGGACTCCCACGTCCTTCCAGTTTCACTGGGCTGCCAGAGTGAGTCTGGGCAGGTGTGGCTCCATGGTGTGGAGTCAGTCATCTCTAAGCTCTCACGCAGGCACTGTAATGGGACTGGGAGTTGCCTCCCAGTTACGTCTTGGGTGGAAGTCAACCCCATCCCCTTGGCTCAAAGCATGGCCACAGCTATTTAACATATCTGTGAAACCAGTTAAAGGTTATAGATATATTAAATGACCATTCTAGAGGTTATCTGCGAAAATGTTGCTGTGCAAAACAACTCAACCCCCAGCTCAGACTTGTGGGGGTGAGGACATCCCATATTTTTAATATTTCCTGGATACCCTGAGTTCTGGACCCCATTACAAATCTTTCTTTTGGGGTCCCTCTAGCTGCACCCTCTAACAATGGCACCCTGCCTAAGTCCCCCCAGACTCTGGGAACCTGCTAAAATACCTCACCCTCTCTGACTCTCAGTTTTGTCCTGTGGGTTTGGAGGAGGACAAAAAACCATCCTTGGATACTCTTTAGTAAGAGTCTTAGAATTATAGGAGACTGTTCTGGGTGGCGTTGGCCCTGCTCCCACTTACAGATGCACAAGACCCACACCCACAGATGGGTTGTCCTGTGGGGGATCAGGCCTGCAACGTGCCTGGGCTGCTTTGAGTCTTGCTTTTGCTAAAAACTCCCTCACCTGGATTTGTGGCAAACATTTACTGCAAAATAACTTCCTAAAATCTATTCTAAACCTTTCTAGGACCAGCGTAACTAGTCCAACCACTTTTTCCTTTTCATTTGCAAATATCCCTCTTCTGGGATGTAATTAGCAGCATTGGCTCCTTTGTTTTCTGTAAAAGGTAACCACCTAAAGCAATTCGTGCATAGTAAATAAGGACCTTCACGTAATGTGCGGAGAAACCCAATAAAGGCCGTCCGGATAAGGGCTGCGGCTTTTGCTCCCCTGGAGAGAAAAGCCATGCTGTCCCTTTTCCTCCACTGGACTTGGTAGTCCTGATACAGGGTGCAGCCAAGGGGGGGGGGGCAAAAAAAAAGATTTGGAATGGTGTCCAGAATTCAAAGTGTATAGGAATATTGGAGAGACATATAAGATGTCTTCACTGCCCCCCCCAGGGGGAAGGGACAATGGAGCAGGGCCATTGAGAGCTGTTTTGCATAGCAACAGTTTTGCAGCTAACCTCTGGAATGGTTATTTAACATATCTATAACCTTTAACTGGTTTCATAGATATGTTAAATAGCTGTGGCCAAGTTTGGAGCCAAGGAGAAGGGAGTGGCTGGGACTCAGAAGGTAACTAGGGTCTGCGTTCTGGAGTGAGAAGGGCCTGTGTGAGAGCTTGGAAAAGATGGGCTCCAGGACATGAGGGGATAACTGCCCAGGTGAGGAGAGGGCCACGTGGTTTCGGCAGAGTGAGGACCCCCTTTTGGTGAGGTGAAAGAGGGAGCCACGTGGTTTTGGCAGGGTGCGGACCCCCTCTTTCCCAGGTGAAAGGGAAAAACCACGCAGCTTTGCCAGAGTGGAGGTCCCTGCAGCCAGGTGAAGAAGAAAGCCACATGCTTTTGGTGGAGTGCGGACCCCTGCAGCTTTGGTAGAAGAGGCCCACGCGGCTTTGGGGTGCCCCCTTTGGCCGCGTGGCCTGGAAAGCAAGAGAGACTTTGACTGGAACCGGGTACGAAGAACTCATGTCAGTGGACCATGAGAAGGTACCACAGTACTTTGGATTAACTAGAGATCCTGCCTGCACGGTGACACAGCTGACGGTGCCAGCGCTCTGCAACACAGACATGTGCTCTTTTCCTGATTTACGGTACCCGGCGTTGGGACAGTGGGAGAAGGGAGCGCTGTGTGGGTGTAGGTGTACAACCTAAAAGACTTTGATATTTTAGTGGTGGAGTTAGGCCTGAATAGCATTAAATAAACATTTTGTTTCCCTTTCACAAATCTCTGGCATTGAGAGATGTCTTTCCAATTGGCGGCGGACAGAAGAGCCCAGTAGATATTAGTATTCTGTTCTTGGGAGGGGCCCCTGTTGTGTAGCAGTTTTGGGCATCCCTAGGTGGGCCAAATATTGTATTGCCACTTCCCCTGGACCTCTTGTTCGGTAACAGTCTGTGTGAATGTCTCATTTCATCCATAATGACGCAGACACTGTGGGCTGGTGTCCGAATAATAGAATAAGTACTTAATAACTGCTGTTACAATTCTTGGGCTGGTTCCTGTTAAATGCAACATCTCAGCAGTTCCCTGCTGCCCCCTCACACAGGACTAGGGCATATTAAGTAGAAGATTTTTTCTGAGCTAGTTTGTAAGAGAAAGGAAAATGCATACAGATTAGGAAAGGCTGCCCCATAGTGGATAGAGGAGGAAGGGTTTCTTCAGGAAGGCTCGAGTGTCAGCTGCCCTGGGCCTGGGCAGGAGGAGCCAGGGCTGGAGGAGGAGGGTGGTCCCAGCTCACTTGATAGTGCCTGCAGCTTAAAGAGAAACTGCAAGGCCACAGCCCCTCCTGCAGCGATTTCTGACCTGGAGAGGAACACTGGGGATGATCTAGATCAGGCTGCGCCTAGGGGTTGTAGAGGGGATGGAGGAGGGAGGCAAGCTGAGGGCTCTGTGCCTGGAAGCAGGAGCTCGGGTGTTTGGTGTCAGCCAAGACAGGCAGGGCTGACGCAGGCAACACTGAGAAAGTGGTAGTTTGGGGGGGCACATTGCTATCAGTAATAACTAACTTCTGTATCGGGTGTTGCCTTCAGTGAGGACACCATCCGCAAACCTCCAGATGACACATTTTACAGGGAGGAAACAGGTGTGGAGAGGTGAAGAGATCCACTCAGGGTCACCGGGAGTGTGTAACCGAGGGCTGGGCCAAAGCTCGGCTGCCTCTCCCTATGGGTTTCATTGAATTCCTAACTCTATGGGCTTCGCTCCATTAGAGAGGAGGCAGCTGGTTAGGTATTAACAAAGGAAGAGAGAGTAAACAGGAACAAGTGACCCGACTTAGCAAGTCAGTAGTTTGCTATGACACTAAAGAGGAAAGGACAAAGTTCCACCAGGTCACCAGGGTTGGGAAAAACCCAAGACATCCTGGGGAGGGGAACTGAGAGCAGAAGGAAATTCTTCTCCTCAATTTATCCTGATTAGAATAAATTAGCATTGTGTCTTTTCACCCCCTTTGTGGGTAAATCTGGAAAATAATGGGCAAGAGCCAAAATGACAGGACACCACCCAGAGAAAATCAGACAATAGGGTTGAATAGTTTAAAAATAAGTCCACTCTTTCCAGGGGTTGGATAATTCAAAGACCTGCTCTTTCCCCAGCCCAAGAGAATACAAGAAAACTTCCATGAAGTTCTCCCGAGAGTCGCTCATGGAGCCTGCCCCGCCCCCTCTCCCTCTGGGAGTGTGCGTGCACTTTAATACATCTTGCCACTGTGGCCACTTGAACTTCTCCTGTGTGTGTGTGTGTCCCTGAATTCTTTCCCATATCACCTCAAAGAACCCTTTGTGGGGTGACAGTTGTGCTCATTAATTGAATGGAGACATTACTGCCCACAGTGCAAGGATGTTGTTAGGGTCTAAGGTACCAAATAAGCAGAGGTGCTTTGAAAGGACCGGATGGTAAAAGGTGCCACTGGGGACTCCCATGAGATAAATGACCTTGAGTGTAGTATTTTGGAATACTCTAACCAAGTGGTCACCTCAGTGATGGAGACCAGTGTCCAGCACAACCATGGGGATAATTGGGGAGGGGGGGGCTTGGGTGGGGTGGTTAGCTACTTCCAGAACAATGTAGTTTGGAATACCTCTTCCTATCCTGCAGTGCCGTCCTAGGATCAGGGGAGCCATGGGTGTGCGTGATTCCTGAATTGAAACAGAAGTGTTCCTCCTAGTCATGGTACCCCTGTGGCCATCTTGTCCCTGCAACTGACAATCTCCGGGAACTCTCTTGGACAGATGCCCCTTCTCAACTGCGAGTTCCTCAAGAGTCATCGGGAACAGCGCCTGGCCCACATGATCCTGAGCTTTGTTACCATGGGGTATGTCTGGCAGGAAGGAGAGATACAGCCTGAACAGGTAAACATAATAGAGGTCTTGTCACTGGGCAGGTCTGTCTGCTTGGCACTGCAGCGATTGCCTGGAAAATGGGTCCTTTTTTCTTCTTTTCTTGGGTGTCAGTTGAAAGAAGGGCAAAGGGTCATTTAAATGAAAGAGTTTTTTTTCCTTGACTAGGAAGTGAATTTTTTTCTTTGACTAGGAAGTGATAACCCTTTATTACTTTTTGAATCTATTTTTTTCTGACACCTTCTTCCCAGAATGTTTGAAGAGTTGCATTTGAAAGCAGGTTTTGAGATCTTCTAAGAAACTTAATAATAGTTCACACTTTACAGCATTTTATACTCCTAATATATATATTATCTTAGTCAATTTTCATAGTCCCATAAGGTAAGTAGAGCTAAGCTGTTCCCATTTTACAGACAGTTGAGGACTACAAGAAGTCCAAAGTCAGATGGCAAGTTTGTGGAAAATCCAAGGCCAGACCCTAAACCTTCTAATTTCGCTAATGTAAACTCCTTCTTCCAGAGGCGTTCATTGCCATTCACAATACCACTGCTTGCCCTCTACCAATTATCAATTCGTCTGTTAATAATTCCTTTACATGTCTTCTGCATCTCTGCATAACATTTTATAGTTTCAGCCTGAACCATGAGATGTGAAATCTCCAAGTTCCACTAATTGTGGATAGGAGAAGACTGCCTTTTATTTGATGTAAATATTCCTTTTCTAGAAATCAGGGAGCTGCTCTTGTTCTGGCACCTCACGGTCAAGGGAGTGGCCTGTGCCTGTTTTGTTTGCCTGGTTGATTCCACTTCTTACCTCTTAGGTGGATACCTGAGACTCCCTGTGAGAATAAGAACAGAAAGTGGAAAAGAAAAGGATAGAGCTGATTCAGATGTTTAAAATATCAGTATAAAACTCCTCTAAGCAGCAGCCTTGAGGTGACCTTGAAAATAGTTCACTATTTACTTGGCCCAGAAAACCCCAGAAAGTCATACAAATCAAAAGGTTCAAATCTTCGCGTTCACTTTAAGAGCGCTTGTGAAACTGCCCAGGCCGTCACAAGTATGCAGATCTGAAAGCCACCAAGTATCCAAAGGATATCACTTTTCAGAAGCCCTGTGTACCATTCCGTGTTACAATGGTGGAGTTGGTTAGGTGTGCCCAGGCCAAACAATGGGGCTGGACGCAGGGTCAGTGGCCCAAAAACACTGCTGAGTTTTTGCTGCTGGTGCTTAAAACTGCAGTAAGCAATGCTGAACTCAAGGGTTGAAATGTAGATTCTCTGGTCATTGAGCACATCCGGGTGAACAAAGCTCCCGAGAGGCAGTGCAGCACCGACAGAGCTTGTGGGTGGACCAACCCACACGTGAGCTCTTCCCGCCGCATTGAGATGGTCCTACTGAAAAAGAGCAGGTTGTTCCTAAACCACAAGAGGAGGCTGCACAGAAGAAAACAATATCCCAGAAGAAACAAACCCCTATGGCCCAGAAGTAAATCTAACGTATAATGACTGCTAATAAAAGCTTAAAAAAGTCAATATATATAATTTCAATAAATCGTGTGTCTAGGGTTGGAAAGTTTGATACCTAGGCCCATAAGAGAACATCCCAACTGGGTTTCATCCCATAATTCTCCAGACCATACCATGACCGTAGGGAAGGGTGGTAGGAGACCGCGTCTCCTGCTTCAAGGTGTGTTCGTGTGCTCCCAGGTCCAGTGAGCCTGGCCTCGGATCCTATCTTACTTTCTTTGTGTCTACGTAGACACCTCTCTTCTGCACCTTCCTCCTCATACCTTGCCTCCTGAGGGAAGCTGACTTAAGTTTGAATTTTAAAGCTCTTTAAAGCTCTTGCCCTGCCTGATATGGCTAAGTGGATTGAGCTACAGCCTGTGGATCAGTTCGATTCCCAGTCAGGGCACATGGCTGGGTTGTGGCCCAGGTCTCCATCTGGGGGTTTGAGAGAGGCAACTGATCGCTGTATCTCTCTCACACACACATCAAGTTTTTCTTCCTCTTTTTTCTCTCCTTTCCCCTCTCTCTAAAAATAAATAAATAAAATACATTACAAAGAAAACTCTTTATTGTTTTTACCAAAGAAGCAGTTGTCCCAAGTCTATTTAAAAATATTGTAAGGAAAGAAAAAGGCAGAAGCAAGGCTTCTAAGTAGATATTGCTATCTTAAGGGTAAATAAAAAGGAAGTGGGGAAAAGGAAATCTAAGGATTTGGTGGGGGGGATCTAGACTAGCCTTGTCTGCAAATAGAGATCCTTCCGTGAATCTGAGTTGATTTCCTGGATTTATGGGCAGATAAGGCCCTTCAGAGTGTTCCTCGGATAACTCAATTGAATGGGGACTGTCTTGAGGTGACTTATTTGAAGTCCTTATTGGGTTTGACTTAAGAAGTGGCTGCCCTGGCTGGTGTAGCTCAGTGGATTGAGCGTGGGCCTGCGAACCAACACATTGCGGTTCGATTCCCAGTCAGGGCACATGCCTGGGTTGCAGGCCAGTTCCCAGGAGGGGACTCATGAGAGGCAACCATACATTGATATTTCTCTCCCTCTCTCCTTCCCTTCCCTTCTAAAGATAAATATTTAAAATTTAAAAAAAAGAAGTGGCTGATGGAATCAGGGCCCACACAAGATGAGCTTTTCTACCCTCCCCATTTCTCTCTCTCACTGACACATAAACACACACAAATACATGTGTACAGATATATACACATACATGCTCTTAGTTTTATACACATATATCTACATATCTATGAATATAAATAGGTAGGTAGGTAGATTTACATAGATTTTTCTTCTTCATTACTTCAGCCCCTAATTTATGCTTGAACATTTGGTAATGTCCTTCCTTGTACAGTTAGTATCTGGGTACCATTTTATATTAGATGTGTATGTGTGTTCCAGCCTTATAGTTGTCCACATAATTTCAGATTGCACTCACAAGCAACGTATCCACTAGGCTGTTAACAGAACAAAACATGAGCGTGAATTGTGTGTGTACAGATAGATATTCGGATAATCTCAGTTTATCCCCAAGGTGCTTCTCTACCACAGAGTTGCTGGAATGAGAGACAGCCACGATTATTTCACATTCTTTCTAGAATATGCTAATTGTCCAGATTTACATCTAAAAGGTTCTGCCCAGAAATCTTGCCCTTCCCTTTGTGGAAGTCTCCAGGAAGTTGGGACTCCCTCCTATCCTGGTCCACGCAGACTTGGTGTTGACAAACTGGACCACAAAAGACCCTGAAAGGTAAGAAAAAGAGAGAGTGCTTTGGTTTGAATGAATGGAAACTGAGTAAGGCACAGTCTTGTGACTTGTATACTCCCTGCCAGAAAGGCCAAGGCTTTTTCAGTTATTTTGTGATTAAAGATATGTGTATTTATTGTCTGTCTTATGGTTGCAAAGAAGAGATGAACGTGAATACAAGTTCAAAAATCACAGGTCTCAGAAATTTCCTCTCAATGCACACTGAATGCATTGGTGCAGACCAGTTTCATTTGTTTGCTTCCATATCAAACTTTAATTCCTCAACCCGACCTTATGATCAGGCTCCTGCATCATCAGGCCTCAGTCATTCCCTAACATGCCCTCCATTCAAGTCAAGTTAGGAGCAGGAACTTCCACAAGTGATCATTATATAGTGATCGGAAATGAATGATTATGTATGAGTTGAGAGTAGATGTTCAAGGTGTGTCAGATTAAAAATTTGATTAGTAATGCTACCCATTCCACCTAGCTGGCATAATTCCTTTGGCAGCTGGATTGGAGATATTGGCATCTGTCTAAAGGAAAAATAGCATGAGTTTTTAAAAACAAGAAAATCCAATAAATACAACAGGGTAGGAAGTGGCAAAGTATTCAATTTCCCTTTGAACTTCATTTTTCATTTTCACAACCAAATTTATTTCAGGCTATAGATGCAAGAGATAGCACTTTTGTTATTTACTAAAATAGCTAAAGGGACATTTAATTTATATGTGAGGAACAACTTCTTTAGCATAAGTATTGTGGGTAAATACAGGATTGCCACAGATGATGGGAGTATTCCTCAAAGAATTAAATGCTTCATAAAAAACAGAGCTTTTAAGACTAATTTGTGTGCCCCTTGACATGAGATTGGACCATCTCATCTGACTAAAGACTTCTGAGCCCTGGGATTTTGGTTTCTGTAATGACAAATTATATTTGACAAATTCTGCTTTAGTAACAAAATCGGTGACTAACGTTCCCATGGAAAGGTGCTGAATCTGGCTCAGAATCTGGACAAAAGGAAAAAATAAATAGACATGGAGAAATGATCCTGATCAAGATATCGAATAGTTAATAAGCTGAATCTCTAATTCAAAGAGGAGAGGAATGGGGAAGGTTGAAGGGGAAAATGGCCGGACCAGGATATTAAAATACAAAACAGAGCAACAAAAAGCTAGTTTCTCCGTGGGTGAGTATGCAGAGCTAGCTTAACCCTGGAGATACGGGTGTAGTCCCAGGGTTCAGTAGTTATTCTTCTTCTTGGCTATTATTTTTTGGAGTCTCTTAATATGCCTGGCGCAGAGCTAAGTGAAATAAAGAAGTGAAAGCAAAGTATACCTGGAGTGGTTAAATAACAAAGCAATTCATGACAGATGGCAGAGTGACATGGATAATAAAGCCTTCAGAACTCCTAAGAAATTACATCAGTGCAGGCTTTAAAATTAGAAAAATCTTGGTGAGAGGGTTGAACTTGACCTAAAGTGGATGCTAAAATGTGAGTTGGAGTAGAGCACCTACAACAAAAATGTGGACTTGTGGTGTGCAAAAATATAAAATGAGCAAGACAGTTTATCATGATGCTGCTGGTTAAATGTTCTGGGGTTGACGTACGGGTTGAGACTTGGCACACTCTATGTCACACGGTGGTCTGTGTGGCAGCCTGTGTCACAGCCTGTGTGCACAGGAATGTGAACGTGTGTGCATCTGCACGTGAGTGTGTGCCTGTGTACACGTGACCCTAGTTAACAAACTGACTCGCTCTTTTCCTTTCTTTTTTTCATTTGTGGTTGTCAATAACTGAAATTTGACTAGGCTCCTGGATATCAGGTAAATTCTCAGAAATCTTTCCCTCACTTGAGAATCCATACTAACTTTACAAGATCACAACAAAGCAAGAGCAAAAGCCTATCAGATTGCATGTACAGTATGCAAGCCATATACAAGTGAATACAAAAATAAGGTTAGAAGGAAAGGTGCCAAGAGTACCACCCAAAATTAAACAGTGGTTGCCTCTGCTTTGCGGATTCATTTTCTTTATTATATAATTTCAGTCTGTACATAGTAAAACAAGTAAAGTGCATTGCAGTGCAAAAACAAAACAAAAAACTATAAACATCATCAATTCTTTCATGATCTGAAAAGCTCTCTTATCTCACCAAACTTCTAATAGTGGGGAAGAGAACTGTTCCCCACCACGTCCAATGACGAGCCAGCCCTGTGAGAGGCTTCGTTGCAGAGGCTGCTACAGTACAAAGGGATTCCTTTGAAATAATGGGTTACATGCACTCCAGCTCCTGAGGCAGGTCTGGCTCTGGGCTCCTTAGGCTCCTCCTCCTCCAGAGAGTAAAGTTACCCTGTAAATTGGCATTGCTTCTCCCACCACCTCAGCATGATAAAGGGGTTCGGTGTAAAAGCTGTAGATCAGGAAATGAGGGATGAAAGGGTGAAGGCACCTTTTCCCACAATAATGTAACTGCTGGAACAATGGTGTTCTTGGCTTAGTTTTATTTTGTGTTCATTTTTCCTTTCTTCTCATGTTGAAAATGTTAGAAGCAGGAGTGATTTGCAAAGTAATGTTTTTAAGCTTTGTAGACTGGCTGTGTATGCGGGATATTTGAATCCATATGATCACAGGTCATTTAAAAGTGATTCCTCTGCACAGTCTTCTAGCTCTCACTCTATTACACAAAACAAAGAATATTGATTAGAAAGAGCACCCACATGGTTCTGTGACTAACCATCTCTGTGTCCTTGGGCAAGCTACATAAAGGGAGCAAGGAACCAGCTGTCACCTGCCTGTGGTCCCTGTGACTCTAAGCGCCTGTGCTCCTGACAGGAATGGCATCATGGGACACAGGCTGGTCCTGTGAGGAATCAGAAATACCTGCCTACTCATGCTTCAGCTGCTCTGCTGGGGGATGGTCTGGGACCATTAGGGCCAAGTTGGACTTTGAGAGTCTTCAGATCAGGTCAACTGGTCTAATTTCTGAGGGGACCTATGAACCATGCATACTCACGGTGTCCAAGCCTCTTTAACCATATGGTCATCTTCTTCCCAAGGAACCTGGACATCATTCTCTCTTTTCCTGGGGGAGAAAGTCTGCGTGGTTTTATACTAGTCACTGTTTTGGTGGAGAAGGCAGCAGTACCTGGGATTAAGGTATCTTTTCACCTACAGCAGTTTTTTTTTTTTTAATGATAAATTAGTCTGAGCTTTATTTCCCATTCAGTCTCTTTCCCTTCTGTGAATTATGTAGATGAACATAGGCCTTGTCCTATTGGTTTCTATCTGAGAAAAGGGGTTTACGTTCTAGCCCACAGGGCTGTTCCCTTCTCCCAACTCCTGTAAAACTTGTAATTGACCTTCTGTCCATTCAACAAACAAGCAGCATTCTAGACAGTGAAATATCTGGGGGAACAAGACAGACAGTGTTGTGGCCCCCACTGGAGCTCATGATCTAGTGGAGGAAGATGGGTTGATGAATAGGGTAATAAAAAAAAGTGCAATGTTTCATGAAAAGACATTTAATACCTAACTCAGAACTGAAGTGTCAGACAAAGCTTGCCCTGGGGAAGTGACAGCTAAAGGTAAAACCTGAGTGATGTATAGGAATTAAGCAGAGAAAGAAAATAGACAGAAAAAAAGATAGACAGACATATTCCTGGCAGAGAGAACTGCTATGCCGAGGCTCAGAGGAAAAGGAACCATCGCTGAGCCCACCTAGCCCCGGAGGGTGGCAAACATATATTCCTTCAGGGGTCAGGCAGTGTCAGAAAGGCCAGGTTTAGTAAGACGAAAGACAGTGGAGCAGCAGGCCATGGAGCCAGAGAAGCCAAGCCTTGCCTAGAGGTAATTGTTAGATGTACGTCTTTCTTCACCACCTTCCTTGATAAGCCTATTTTGAGTTCTTACTGTGTCCTCAATACAGTCACTGGTTTTGCCATAAGAATTATAGCACCCTCTGTCACTCTCAAAAGTGAAACTACATGGCCACTTCTCATTGGTGTGATTAGTCCCCTCAGATAAGGTAGAGACTGCTAAGTAGGCTTCATGATGGAGGGGGCCCTGGAACTGGGGCCTCTATGAGCTCTACAAAATCTGTCTGGTTTTATGAAAGACAAAGCTCAAACATGAGGGTGCCCTGATTCAAGATACAGACATACATATGGATTATAAGATGTGATAAACACAGAAGGAAGGAGAAAAAGGATAGAGTTATGCCCCTGAGAGTTATAAGAAGTAGCAATCAGAGGAAAGACCCAGAAAAACATGTCCAAAGGTCTATCTGGGAGATGCCTGGAGAGATTATCTTCTCAGGCAGACCTCATAGCAAATCTAGTTTAGGGGAGTCCTGCAAAACTGTCCAGCAGTGACAGGGGTGCCCTTTCCCTGATTCCCACACCACTGATGCCCACCTGACTCCACCTCAGTGGACCTTAGTGAATGCTAATGAATTGCATTAATGAATCTTCTCCCCAGGCACTTGTTCAAGGAGTGAATGCCATCCTGCAGGCCAGCCAGGACTCCCTGCTCCAAGCCCTGGAGCAACTGAGACTCTCCATTCAGGACATCACCAGAACCTTAGGACAAATGCACAGTAAGGGGGCTACCCAAGCTGAGGCTCTCTGTGGGGGCAAAGGGTCTGGAGGCTGGCCAACATCTGAGATGGTGCTGGTTTATTAGCTTTGTTTTATGGTAACTGATCGTTGCCATACTATTAGGGAATGACCTGTCGGTTTGCACAGATATTTTTGTGGTTCTGTTCCTTTTTTGTAAGAATTTTTCAAGTTTAATGTGAAATTTAAAAATACAAATAAAAAATAGTCCACTTTCTTTAATGCACAAAAATGTATGCATAGAAACAAAAACAAATTGAACATTATTACATATGTTTACACCACTATTTAGTTCTTATCACCTTTACTACTCAAACAATAGAAAGCAGATGGTAACTGGTAAATTGGAGAGGAGGTAAAACAAAAACAAACGTTTCTATCATGTTTATTCTACACTGTGCACAGCTGTGCCCACAGAAATGTCTTCTTTCACTTCTCTGCTGTGCCGGAATTCAGTTATACACTGAACCTGAAGTTCAGTTATACACTGAACTATACACAGAGCTGGACCTGCTCAAAAGCTAAGGGAGACTCAGTACAATGGGGCCCAATCCTGGTACGTTGTCATACAATTCAAACAATGGTGTAGCTACCAGCTTGTCATTTTCAGGGACTGCACACAAGGCTTTCTTTTGAAGTTGAACCAAAAGCAAGTTATTTTCTTTCAGTTTTGTAATATATGCAGGAATATATGGACACTCGGAGGTTCCAGACTTGGTCCCCACCAGTCTCCAAGGCCGTTGTCAGTGACTCGGTTATGCAGGACTCCATCTTGATGACCTGGTATCTCTGTCTTTGAACATTATAGTCCTTCATCTTCTCCTGAGTTAGGTTCAGCACCAGGGGGTTTGAAGAAAGTTGTTCCCAGCTGCAGCAGTAACACAGGGGATAGCCTGTGCTCATGCACAATCAGATCCCCTTCCACAGTCCTCATTCCAATTCCATCAAATTTCTCCCCCACATGCAGAAATCTGGCTGCAACAGAGCCATCCTCACAGAGGCGCTCCTTGGGGCACTTAGGTAGTTTCCGTACATTGGCTATTGTAAATAATGCTGCAATGAACAGAGTGATCTTTTCAAATTAGTCATGTCGCAGTCTTCAGATAAATACCCATAAGGGGAATAGTTGCATCATACGGTAGTTCTATTCTTAATCTTTTGACGGAGCTCCATACTGTTTTCCCAAGTGACTGCACCAGTTTACATTCTCACCAACAGAATACCAGGGTTCCCTTTCTACACATCTTTTCTAACACTTGATATTTTTTATCTTTTTGATAATGGCTATGCTCAAAGTATAAGGTAATATCTCACAGTTTTCATTTGCCTTCCTCTAATCATTAGTGATGTTAAACATCTTTTCATATACCTGTCAGCCATGTGTGTCTTCATAAAAATGCCTATTCAGATCCTCTGCCCTTTTTAAAATGGGATCATTTTTTGTTGTTGTTGCTGACTTGTGTGAGCTTTTTATATTTTTGAACACTAACTCCTTAACAAGTGTATGATTTGCAAATATCTTCTCCTATTCAGTAGGCTGCCTTTTTGTCTTGATGCTGGTTTCTGTCGTTAAATTGTTGCTTTTGTTTCCCTTGCTTTTGAAGTCAGATTGACTAAAATATTGCTAAGACCTATGTTAGAGAGCTTATGGCCTGTGTTTTTTTCTATAAATTTTATGCCTTCAGGTCTTGCATTCAAACTTTTAATGCATTTTCAGTTAATTTTTGAGTATGGTGTAAGATAGTGGTTTAGTTTCATTTTTCCCCCCTGTGGCTGTCCAGTTTTTCCAGCACCATCCATTGAAGAAGCGGTCTTTTCTCCATTGTATGTCCTTGACTTCATCAATTGTCCATATGTGTGTGGCCAATTGTACTTGGCCATACATCATTGTCCACATGTGTGTGGATGTGGAGGTGAGGTGTACTTCTGGGCTCTCACTTCTGTTCTGTCGATCTGTGTGTCTGTCCTTATGCTGATACCATCTTCTTTTCATTTCTATAGATTTGTGGGATAGTTTGAAACCAGAGAGCATGTTGCTTCCAACTTTGTTCTTCCTTCTCTACACTGTCCTTAGTGTAGTGAACTTCTGTTCACTCTTGTTGTCCTCATTGTGTACACAAAGAAGTGGCCATAGAGTGGGTGTGTGGTGTGTGGGTGAAACACCCCAAACAGTTGAGGTGCCCATGGGACAGTTGGGGGGATCTGCAGGTGTGGCATCTCCAGCAGCTTGTGGGAGAACGTCTTGACGGAGCCCGCACGGTGGTCAGTAGGACCTGCATCCCTTTACTGTCCTCCAGGAGCCCTGACGCTCTCACAGCCACTTTCAACCCCACAGTGTTCTCAGTCACGCAGCTCACTGCAGAGTTCCAGATGGGCTGAGAAAAGTGGGTCTCTGGAAGCATTCCATGTAGCTGAGGAAGCGGGGCACTCACTCACATGCTCTCACTTTTCCTTGAGGAACAAATCACAGGCCAGTGAGGTCTCTTTTGGCCCTGAGCTGTGTCTCCTTGTGGGACAGGTGAAGTAGGTAAAGTGAAAAGTTCTTCTCACCCTCTTTGGGGCACTCAGTCTTGGACTGTTTTTACTCCAGTGGTGTGCTGGAGCTTCCAGGCTGGATTCCTGGACTTGCACAAAGGCTCTCTTGCCCACAGGTGATTGTCTAAATCAGCATTCCTCAGGGGGCAGGGGACTGTAGAAACTCATTCCACAATGCTAATGGTGTCCTGCATTTCCCTGATTTTCAGTGCGTTATCTGTCTTCTCTCTCTCTTTCTGTGAGTGGTGTGCACTCACCACTTGTCCCTTTTCTGTTAAGTGCATGTCTTTTCTTATTTTTTAATGGTCTTTTTATCTTTTACCTGTGGATTTTTATGAGCTTTTGTATACTCTTCAGCATAATTTTCGTTAGTCATATGTGGTGTAATTGTTGTGGCTCATCTTAATATGACTTTTGAAAGCAGAAAATTTTAATCTATGTATTGTCAAAGTTTCTGTCATTTCTTTCATAAAAGTCTGGTTTTATAGGAGGTCTTGTGTGAGATACTTTAAAATCATGGGTCATAAATATATTTTCCTGCATTTTCTTGGAAATCGCTGTTTTGTCTTTCATGTCTTAGTCCTTAGTTCACATATATTTATTATTTGTGTGTAGTATAACATAGGAAATAAATTCAATTTCTCTTCTGTGAATAATTACTTACATGCAGTATTAGCTAATTTTTATACCAGATTTTCTTAAGTGCCTAGATCTGTTTTTCAGGCTCTCTATTCTGTTTCATTGTCTGTTTAATTTTCCTTGACCAATATCATCTGTCTTAAGAACTATAGCTTCACAGTATTTCTCATTTCCAGGTAAAGAAAACTCCCTCCCTTTGCTCTCCTTTATCTTATCTTTGAGCCTTTGCTTTTCTTATAAACTATTAGAATTGGCATGCCAAAGTTTATTTCAAAATCTTTGTTAGGAATTTTGCTCAATTTGCATGACATCTGTATATTAATTTGGAAAGAAATGCAGGATTTTTATATTATATTCAGTCCCTCTGTCTCATGAGCAAGGCAGGCGGAGAGGCAGAGTTAGCATAGATCATCAACTGTCATTCCCAGACAAGCTACCCCATACCAGGGCTTCATATGAGTGCATATTCTTTTGTCATATAGCTTGAAGTTTATTCAGACAAAAATATCTTCTTTAGATACATTTCTTCTTTTAGATATTGATACTGAATTTTCTTGACTTTCTCGAAATGGACAAAGTTTTCATTAATTTTGAAACGTTTTCTTTAACTTTTTTCAAGACAAAAGACTTAAAAAGCTTCAGTTTTATTTATAGTTACTTTATATTTTTGTTCTTAATGAATACAATATCTTTGATTTAACTACTGACTGTTGCTTGTTTACAGGATAAAATTGATATTTGAATATTAACCTTGAATTTAGAACCTTGATAAACACTCTTAGTCATTCCAATAATTATATATACATAATTATTATACATTCATGTGTACATACATAATAATTATGTATGTTATGTGAGTTTTCTATGTTGAAATTATATAATTTGAGAATAATGTTCTTTTGTTTCTTCATTTATACTAGTTATAACTTTTATTTTTGTTTAATTTCTGTTTCCTATTCTTCTTGCTAGGACTCCTAACACAGTATTGAATGGAACTGCTGATCCTTGTTCTGTTCCACATTTTAAAAGACCTATTTTTAATATTCCAACATTAAGTATAATGTATATTATAGGCTTTCTGTGGATTCCGCTGATCATTTCAAGGATGAGCCATCCTAATCCTAATTAGCTAAAATGTTTTGTTTATTTGTCACTGTCATGAATGGATTTTTTTAATGTATATTGAAATTTTTTTACATCAGAATCATTTTACATCTATGGAAATGATTATTTGATTTTCCCTCATTAAATATGGTAGTTTGGGTAAAATTTTGAATTATTTCCAGTCATTACTGCTTCAGAAAAGTTTGCACATTGTATTTAGCATTTTTGTGAGAAAAGAGCAGCAAATGGGTAAGACCCAGAAATAACACCCAGAAAAAAGTCCAGAAGAGCATTGTCACAGAAGTGCAGAGAGAATGTGACAGCATTTGGGGCAATGGGACAGCCCGAGGCTCAAGGAAGACATTAATTACCTGAGGTCGTGGGGCCTTAGAGAAAATAAGGATGGAGGACCAGAGATGGAGGTAGAGGTGAAGAGCGAGTAGGTGCGATGGGGACAAAGGAAAACCAATGATATAGAGATGGGGTTATTTAGGTATCATAAAAAACATGTTATTTTTTCTCTTAGAAACAAAGGAAAATGGATAAAAGAAATATGCTGGGTCACAGAGGGGTCCTATTATATGAAGGAACGGAGTAACCTTCAAAAGTTGATAAAAACAAATTTAGTACAATTGTGAAAACCTGCTTCCTTATATACAACTTAATAAAACTAGTGAAATCAGTTATCCCCAAGCATTAGCTTAGATTCAAAGTAGCTGCACAGTTTATGAACGCAGCTAAACAGGGAGCGGAATGAATCAGTATTTGACCTGGTGTGACTCTCTCTGGGTACGAGACTGTCCACTCCGCTGTGCTTTGTTGACCACACAGAACTCCACTTGAGCTCTGACGGCTTTAGTTTTCCTCTCTTGGGAGAGTCTTCTGAGAGGTGATTCTTTCTCTCCACTTCTCATAGTCTCTCAAACATCGTCTGTTTAAATTACAATTTTTTTGAAAAGATGGCCTTGAGCTCTGTCTTTTGTTGTTAAGTACAGCAAGGGGAAGTTCCGCAAATAGAAAAGGGCAGCATTTGGAATAGTTTAAAAGTCCTGCACACGCCAGCGAGGGCAACTGCATTCCATCTGCCTCTAGCTTGTTGCTTCATTCCAGGTGTCCCAGCGGATCAGATAGAGAGGCAGCCCCAGGAGCTCAGCAGGGCCCATGCACATGTAACCAATTGCCTTTTTTGGCCTGTAGTAAAGTTCAAATTTTGATTGTTCCTCCAGATTATGTAGATCCAGACATATTTTATGCAGTCATCCGGATCTTTCTCTCTGGGTAAGTATAGTTCAACTGTTTCTTTGCATGAGGTCTCTGTAACATTTTCCAAATTTATGGGGGTAAAAACTGACATAAGCTTCCCAGAGCAAGAAACACACCAGGGAATTCTTAGCAAAGTAATCACCTGGATCCACTCTTGGCTAGAAGAAGGTTACCATCTGCATGACAAATGACATTAAAAGGTTGAATATTGAAGTTTAGAGTAATTGTCTTCAGGTTATCATACTAGAGTTATTTGTATTTACCTTGATGACAGACAGGAAAAAAAAAAGCCGGGTATGCCACCCTCAAAGGTCATTTATATTTCCTTGTTACTGAGACAGATGGAGGTATAGACAGTAGCTTGAAAGCTTTTGTACAACATTCCTAAAATAGCTCCCCCAAACCATTTTCTCATATTCCTGTGTGCTCTTTTCGTCACATTGTTAGGTAGGATAGAGAGTAAACCAAGGCAGGGAGGAGAAAGGAGGCACGTCTCCCCCACTGAGTCAGCCATCCTGAGCCTGGTGTCACAACGTTGCCAGGTGTTCCGACATCACAGGAAACACCATGCTGACACGGGGGGAGGGAAGTCCTTGAAATTCTGTGTGTACTGTTTCCACTATGTGGAAGAGAGCCTTTGAAACTGTGTTCATCCCAAAGTCTGGAAGGGGGACAAAAAGGGGGTTCACAATGCCCAAAGGAAAAGCCCATAAAACCGCTTTGGTTAATTGCCTGCCTCTGGTCACTACCTGTTTTATAAGGGGGTCCCTAGTGCTTACAGAAAGAGCCCATAAATAAGTCTGGGTAAGCGCCTCAACTTTAATGAACTGCCTCCTGTCACACAGCTGTTTTACAACAGATATGGTCTTGCTGACCAAATATGGTCTGGAGCAAGATAAGAATTTTTGGGGAAAAAGACCCCCCCCCACATGCCTACATTTGAGTAGTCACATCCCCCACAGGAAGCTGATGCCACCTTAACCCACCAAACAATATGTAACTCTTTCACTTCATCTTGCCATCTATATAAGCCCTCAGAACGAAGGACCTGATGCCTTTTGCCACCCAAGCCTATGCCTTTCCAACCCCACCTTGGCTAGACCCATTGTCTTTCAGGAGAATGTGTCACTGATAAACTTTGCTTGCATGCTAATCGACTTGCTGATCTGTAGTAATCCTTTACTGAGTTGTAAAAAGAAGTGAGTTTTTCCTGCAACAACATGACCTGTAATTTCTCCAAAAACAGAACTCTACTCCTGGATGTGTTTTTTGTTTTAAATACACTCATCATACATTGACAGGCTTTAATGAGATTGCTTTCCTATTCACTGTAAGAAATTGAGTTTTCTTGTTTGTTTTTTAATGGTGAAAAGTGAAAGGTGCCGGTAGTGGATGGATGAGATAAAAATGTGCAATCGATATTACCCAGTTTGCCATATGTACAACTAGGAGATGACTGGAGTGTTACTGACAGAAAGAATAGAAAGCTGGGACTGGATGCAACAAGAAACATGCCAAATACCTAAATCAATAAGTTTATTAATTTAGTGTTCAAATCTATTGGTGCAAAAATAGAATGACAGAATGTGCTGATTATTTTCTGTAGATTGCTTAGGTCTAGGGCCTGAGGAAGTGACCTCCCTCTCTAAGGGAGGCTGGCCTGGGCAGGGATTCCTGACTGTAGAGTGCAGAGTGTAAAAGGCAGAAAGGTTTCTATGGAATTAACTTGAAAGTAATGCGTACTTGGCTTATGGGGAAAAAAGGGGGAGAAGGGGAAGGTGACAGGGAATTGGGAGTGTGTCTCACAATTTAGACTTTCACTTCTGAAATGCTCCCCAAAGAGATTGTCCTATAGAGCTCTTCTTGCTCTCTGTATGTTTTTCATGTAGCCAGGGTCAAGACAAGATCTGAATACGGAAAAGAGATTCTAGCAACAAATATTAAGCAAAACATGTAGATATGCTTTGGTAGGATTAGACAAAAGATAAAAGGGGTCATTTAAGAGTGCTTTTGAAGTTATATTTTTATCAATGATGCTATTAGTTATCCCAATTTTTCCCCTTTGTCCCCCTTGACCCAACGCCCCGCCTCCCTCAGGTAATTCCCACACCATTATTCGTGCCCATGGGTTGTTAAGTTCTTTGGCTACTCCATTTCCTGTGCTGTACTTTACATCCCCATGGCTATTCTGTACCTATTTGTACTTCTTTTTAAATTTTTTTTTAAGATTTTATTTATTTATCTTTAGAAGGGAAGGAAAGGAGACAGGGAAAGAAATATCAATGTATGGTTACTTCTTGTGCATCCCCTGCTGGGAACTGGCCTGCAACCCAGGTATGTGCCCTGACTGAGAATCAAACTGCGACCTTTTGGTTCTCAGGCCTGCGCTCAATCTACTGAGCTACACCAGCCAGGGCCCTATTTTTACTTCTAAATTCTTTTATCTCTTCACCCATGCACACACACACACCCCTCCCATCTGGCAACCATCAAATTGCTCTCCTTATCCATGATTTGGTCTCTATTCTTGTTTGCTTAGTTTGTTTATTTAAATTCCACTGTTGATAGATATGTATTTATTGCCATTTTATCGGTCCTAGTTTTGACCTTCTTTTTCTTAAATAAGCTGCTTTAACAGTTCATATAATAATAGTTCAAAATAGACTGGGTTTTAGAAAGCATCTAATTCTGAAAAATCTCTTTGTGCTTTACTTTGTTCCCTAAGTTTGTATTGGATTTTTTTGTAACATAACAAGTTACCACAAATTTAGCAGCTTAAAACCCTACACGTTAATTAGCTCACACTTCTGTAAGTATCTGCACGACCAAGTTAAGGTATCTGCTGGGCTGAGCTCTTATCTGGGAAAGAACTCACTTAGATCCTTGGTACAATCTAATTCTTTGTGGCTTTGAAACTGTGCTGTGTTTTCCTATGCTGACTGTCAGGATATGCCCTCAGCTTCTAGAAACTTCCTGTATTTTGTCACCTGGGCTCCTCTGACTCAGCAATGACACTTCCTGTCCTCGTATTTCACATCTCTATGACTTCTTCTTTTGCCACTAGTCAGAAAAAGCCTCTGCTTTTAAGGTGTTATTGATTAGATTCCACTCACCTAGATCATCTAGAATGACCCTCTATATTAAGGTCAACTGATTCGTAACCCTAATTACATCCACAAAGTCCCTTCGTCTTGTTATATACTATATCATTATGGACAGACATGACATCTCATAATGTCAACAGTTCTAGGAATTAGAATGGGAATCTTGGAGCGGTATTTTTGGAATTCTGCCTATCGTGATTAGTGAGCACCAGAAGGTGACTTTGTTTTCATTAAAATAAGTTCCAGATTAATGACACATATTATGTGTCATCTACATAAGTGTCTCCCCTGTTTCTTAGCCTCAAAATATTTCCCATGTAGCTAAACTAAGTGACCAGCACCAAACCCTAAGTGTACTGGTAAGTGCAGATGACCAAAACTTCTGGATTGTTGGCAATTCCCAATAGGGTTGCCTTCAAAAATCTAAATCTGCTCCTGTGTTCTTTATTTGTCCTATGTTTGATTTGTTATTTTTGTTTACTTTTTAAAACATTTTTATTTAGGGGAGTTGAGAGATTTCATCTGCAAATGAAACATTCCCTTTATTTCCCACTCACATTAAATTTCTCAGGGAAGTGAATATCCCCTGTGGGGGGAAAAAAAAGATATCTCATTTCTTTTTTTTTCTTTTAAATGTCTGCTTTTATTGGATTTGCTAGAAATATGCTACAAGAAAGACTAAAAATAGTCTCGCCTACAGAGATTTGAAAGAAAAATAATTCCTTTCCTTCATAAACAGCAGTTTGGACCTGAGAATTCATGGGAGCATCCTTGAGCAACCCTTGGGTTCTTCAGAGGAAACTAATTTTCCTTCCTCAGACCATTGTCATCATAGGGGGAGAATATATGGGTTTTGAAAGTAGGTGCCTTTCTCTTACTTTTCTGATCTTCATGCTGTTATTTTCTCTGTCACCTTGGATGCAGCTTCAGTGGGCCTTCCTCACGTTGGGACACTAAAATGAGACTGATGGATGCCTTGGCCATTTGAGCATTTGATGGCTCTTTTAAGCTGGCCAGGTCTTTTTAAGAAGTATACTTGGCTATATATATTCTAGATATATAATATATAATCATAGAATACTACAATTTTATTCACTCATTCATCAGCTATTTAATGAGTGCTTACCATATGCCAGGCACAGTTCTAGGTGCTGAAAATGAAGCAATAACATAAAATATCAACTTCATTTCTATGGAGCTTACCTAAGTTTTAATTATGGAAGGCAGATGAAGGAATAAACATAACAAAATCAAGTATTGTACAAGACGTGTTACAACAATGAGCAATATGGGGAAATGGGGATATACAGGGCATCATGGAGTGGTGGGGTGGGGGCTGAAGTTTCTTATTCATTGTGATCAGGGAATGCCACACTTCTAAGGGATGTTTAAGCAGATACCTGAAGAAAGTAAAGGGTAGGTCACCTATATACTTCTCCCAAGCAAAAGGAAAAGAAATTATGATGATTCTGACATGACAGCATGTTGTGAAGGAGGAGCTGCAAGGAGGCCAGCAATGCATGAAGGGAGTGAATATTGGGTAGAATGAGAAAGATATAATGTGATAGTGGAAGACTGGATCACACAGGGGCCTACTGGCTTCTTTTCTAAATGAGATGGACATCACTGGCGAGTTTGAAAGGAGGGACATAATCTATCTTAAGTTTCAAATCATTACTCTATCTTCTAACTGGAAAATAGATTATTTCAGAACAAGAATGGAAGCTGGGAAAGAATTTAAGAAGCTTTTACTGCAATTCAGGGGGGTAACTTTAACTAGGGTGGTAGCAGTAGAGGCTTTGAGAAATGGCCAGTTCTGGATATAGATTGACAGTGAAGTTGAAAGGATCTTCTATTGGATTGCACGTGGAATGCAAGAGAAAAAGGTCAATCAAAAATCAAAGAGGATTATAAGGTTCTTGACCCAATCTATTGAAAATATGTAACTGCCAGTTTTTCTGTTGAGGCAGAATGAGTTTGGCAAAAGGGTGGGGAAATCAGGTCAGTTTGGGACGTGTCCATTCCTGTGGAGATGTCTTGTAGAAAGTGAAATATGAGTCTGGAATACAGGGGAGGGGTTCAGATGTAGGAGCACATTTGTAAACAGTCAGAATAGGTTTTTAAATCTGTGAGGCTAAATAAGATCCCTTGGAAACTACAAGTAGTGAGAAGCCCGATGACTGAGCCCTGCGAGAGTCCAACACTTAGAAGCGCTCTTAATGGGAAGAAAATAGTGAAGGAGACCAAAATGACTATGTAACATCATCATCAGGATTACGAAGAAAATCTGACCAAATGTGGCATCCGGTCCAATGACCACATAGTAGTGGTCAGGTTTTCAACATTGCTTCCCCATAAAATGTTGTTTAGAAATTTTACTGGATAAGTGTTCTGAACTCTGACAAGTCATGAAACCTCTCTGAAACCCATTTAATTCTTCCAGCAGCTTTAGGAAGTAAGTACAGGTTAGGAGAACTAAGACTCAGAAGGGTTTGTATAAAGTCACAAAATAATGAAAGAATAGAGATTCCAAATCATTCTGAATAATATCATAAAATAGCTAAAATTTATTGAAGGCTTAATAATAGGTTCCAAGCACTGAACAAATGTTATTTTAATTACTTCTCACAACAATCTAATAAGATAGATGCTTATATTACTTGAATGAGGAAGTTGAGGTTCAGAGAGGTTAACTAAGCTGAGGCTCACAGCTGCAAATAAACTTGCAATTAAATTCCATATCAGCTTAAAATAGAGCCTTCTTTCCTAGCAGCAATATCTTATGACCAGAATCTTCCCTTTGTTCTTTCTACTTGTCCCCTTGACTGCTTCCTGTGTCTCTTTTCTTTCTAGAGTGATATTACCTTACCTGCGAAAGCCCCGCTGATATCCACACAAACCATAAATAGCTAACCAAAAACGGCCACATGTCCAAAAAATAAAAATAAAAAATACCTTCTTGGAGCATTTCCTGCTTCCAAGAAATTATTTGAAAAAGGTTATAAAATAGGAAGCTAAACTGTTTCTGTGGGTTTTGTACGCATGAAAACTGGGTGGTTCCCATCTCTTGAATACAATTTTAGATTTGTGGGAAGAAGGCTTAACATCACTAAAGCCTGTTATTTAAACTGTTAACAACCAGCATAGTCATTTGTTCCTGGTAATAGGAGAAAAAGATTCTATTCCTTAGAAAAAGGAGAAATCCACATGTACAGGTTTTGTGAACACGAAAATAGAAAATTACAAGCTTCGGATTTAAGTTCTGGTTCTCTTGCTCCCAAGAGAGCTCCCAAGAGAGTGGCCCGGGAGACTTAGCTGCTCCAAATCTTTGTTTCTTTAATTGTAAAATGGGCTTAAAAATACTCGCTTTGATCTATTCAAAAGTGGTCACATGAGAAAGTGAATGTGATGCTGCTTCATAAACTATAAAGCATTTGAAGTACAAATACATGTGTTCTTGGTGCTTTTGGTGTTGTCTCATAATGGAGCCACCCACGTACGCTCTGTGATTGTTTAAGACTCTATAAAATCAGACAGGGAAATGAGTAAAATAGTCAGAGATAAGAAAAGCGGCCCCAGAGAGAAGAAGATGAAGAAATGGAATCAGGAAGACCAAAGAGAGGAAAGGAGAGAAGAAAAGAGAGGACAGGGAACCAAAACCTACTTACTCTGCACATGACCAAGAAGAGCCTTTATTGCATCCCTCCAACATGTCCCTGAACTTAGCTTCTGGTACCTGTAGGCTTGTATTGTGCTCTTTTTGTCACTACCATTATTATCAATAGCTGTTATCAACAAAGCATTTGATAAAAGCATTCACATAAAGTCAGGTCATATTTAGAAATGATAGTTTAATGTGATAAGTGTCACAACTATTTCAGGGAAGGGCAAAGTTGTGTGTATTTATATGTGTTATGTGTGTGTGTATTTTTAAATCTCTACTTGTGGAATTATTCCATCATCAAACTTATTTTATCAGGGGGAAAGAAGATTGTTCCAGAGTCCCTAGTTTGTTCCTGCCAGTCAGTACTGATGCCTGTCATCTTTATGAACAGACTTTTCAAAAGGATACACTGTGAAACCAGTGCTGAGGGCCCTTCTCTATATATTCTTGTCTGTAAAAGTTCTGTAAAGTTCACGAATGAGGAGAAGAGTTGCATTCTATGACCTGTTATGAAATTGGGGTTAAGATGATGCTTAGGTACCCATCCTACAAAGACATCCAACCTTTGACTATCATTGAAATCAAGTTCTCTTTTGTGCTCATTCTGCTTCTATATCAGAAAACATACTCTTAACTCCGAGCACCCACTCCTGACTTGTACTCTTGCTTAGATGGAAAGGTAACCCAGCGATGCCCATGGGGTTGATATACGAAGGGGTCTCCTCAGAGCCCCTGAAATACTCCGGAGGCAGTGCGGCTCAGAGCACGGTGCTTCATGCCTTTGACGAGTTCCTGGGCGTTCGTCACAGCAAGGAAAGTGGTAAGTCAGACATTTTTTTCTTTTCCTTTTTTTCCTTAATAAGGAAGAGCAGAGGTGCTTTTACAAATTGATGAGAACCAAGTGTAACTTAAAGTGTCATCAAGTCTTACTTTTCTAAATTAGCCAGGAAACTGTGTGCCTGTCACACTCCTATGTTGTGTTGTCAATTGATATCAGATCCCCGCAGGACACTGAGTGTCACTTCCATGTCCTAAAACATTGCTGTATTTCCTGCCATTTGCTGCAATTTTGCCCGGATCTTTGGGCAATGGCTTCCCTTCTCTAAAATGAGACACAGTAGTGGAGTTTGAAGGGTGTGGCATGTCGTGGATTAGTCTGCAATGCTGATAACGGATCTAAGGGCCTCCCCTACTAGTGGAGGGTATGAGAAGTCCCTCCTCATACTAATGGCACAATCCCAAGCCAATTCAATTTATACCAGAAGAGGGAAGGGCCAACTGTTTTAGAAGCTTGAAAGCTCATTTCCTCACCTGCCAGCCTTGAGCCAAATGCTTAACAGCAGCTAAAAGCACTGCATAGCACATAGTTTTCAATATGAATTAGAAAAAAAAACCCAAAACCCTGCACTTTGGTGTCATAGGGTCCAGTCTCATCCACAAAAGCCAGTTGTCTAGAATGATGAAAGCTTCTCGTGGAGTTTGACTTGGTGACGTCAGTGTTTGACTGGCCGTGCGTAACATTAAACACATAGTGGTTTCCTAAACACGATTTCTTTATCTCCACTTTCTAGAAATATGTTAATTAGGTTTTTAAAGAACTTGACTTCAAAAGGCCACTCTTAAAAGAGTTGCTCATTCTTTATCCTCTTGCTCTTATAAATTCTATTACTTTCTTCTTTCTTAGCTCTCCCTCCAAAACAAAGCACTTAAGAAACACAATTCGGCCGACTAGCTACTTAGTTTAAGGGTTTATGCTTTACGTTCATAACTATTCTTTTCTAGGGACTAGCAAGACACTTGGCCCACATTTGGTAAATGATAAACATTGATATACTGGCTGGTATCTAGTTCCAACTCAGTTATCTGAGATGCCTTTGCTTCTTTTTCCCTTCCCCAACTCTTGTCACTAGTCATGAGTGTGCATTTGAGTCTTTGAAGTCTCTGAGCAAAAGAGTCAGCAGAGCAGATTGGACAGTTAGAATGACAGCAACAGTCTTTGCCGCACTGATGTTCGGAAAAGCAGACAGGCTCTCCTCTCTTTCCACGTGGAGCCATGGCATTATTCTGGACTGTTTCTTTCAGATGACTTTCTGCTCAGCATGAGGGAGTACATGCCCCCTTCTCACAAGGCCTTCTTAGAAGAGTTGCAGGCGGCTCCTTCACTGAGGCATCATGTCCTGTCCTCTGGAAACGGCCAGCTGCTGACTGCGTATAACTGGTGTGTGGAGGCCCTGGCCGAGCTGCGCAGCTACCACGTAACTGTGGTGACCAAATACCTGGTCACAGCTGCAGCCAAAGCAAAGAGCAAGAAACCAAGCCGTCTCCCAGAGCCGCCTCGGGCCTTAGAAGAGAGGGGCACAGGAGGAACTGCTGTCCTGAGCTTCCTGAAGAGCGTCAGGAACAAGACTTTGGAGGCCATCCTTCCACAACGCGGTTGAGGGATGGCTTCCCTCCAGTGATGCAGAACCAGCAAATGTCCCACTGGAGGGCAGATGGGCCTGAAGAATGATGGTTCGTGTTCTGTTGGAATAACACAAAATTGACCTCAGTCCTGAGAACATTGGCTTCTCCTTCACTGAGACCTGTTGGTCTTCACAGAGATTTTTCATGGCCAGAAATTCTCCTTTCTCTGCCTGATCACTGGTTAATCACAAACAGCTTTGGACAATCCATCAGTAAGAAACGCACGGAGGAGCAAGAGGATCCCTATTCTGTCTGCGAAGTGAGGGAAAACCAATGCAAATTTCAGAAACCAAATAATATTGCCCATGGACAGATCACCTTGTCAATAGCTTGAAAAAACAAATTAAATATTCATGCATTTGTTCACTTAAAATGTATTAAGTTCCCACTGAGTACTGGCTTAGGAACCCGAACAGCGATTTTTGTGGCCCCAGGGCAATCCTCGTCTCCCTGTGGGTGCTGATCGAGTGGCGGGTAGTTGGAATGCTCCGGTGGAAATGTGGAGAAAAGGGGAGACTAACAACAAGACTTGGAAGTCGCCAGTATGGAAATGACTGGTTAATGACATGGGAACGGATGAGACTCTTCCACATGGTTCATAAATTTTCAGTTCTATTTTAGTTTCCTTCTTTATTTTTAGAAGAACAGTTCATTCTCCTTTCACTGAAAGTTTGCATTTGTAAAATGAATTAATTGACCCTTTGGAAGTAAATGGGCGAAGTGGGAATAAACAGTAAATCTACATGTTTACAAGGTCTCGTTCCATCTGACAGCACAGAGCTAGAAAGCTTTAATCGGTTCTCTTAGGCTAAACTCCACTGACGAAGACTTGCTCCCCACCATGCACACACACGCATATCTGGGATAGTATCGAAATTCCACAGCACTGGTGTAGCATGGCAGCATCACGAAGAGGTACCTGATCACGAGGAGCAGCTTGTCCCCAAATTAGTGTCTGACAAACAGTCCCCTCCTCTATATATTGTAAAGACTGGTCAAATGGAGCTTGCAGTATGTCTTATCCTGTCTAAGTGACCTTCCAGATTTTCAGAGATCTTTCAGCGACCTCTCAGCCCTCAAGATCCTACCCTGCCACTTTGAAAACCACTGGACTACGCCCCCCCACCCCCCCACAGAGAGTACTGGGAGATGACTCAGAGAGTCTGCCCAGCACTCACTCAACTGTTCTCACTCTAGAATCATGGGGTGTGTGGGCGAAGGCGGGGACTTCTGAACTCTTGTCAACTCTCAGGGCCCTTGGTAAGAAGTCATGAACCAGTGTCTTCCACTTGGGGTACCAGGAGGGCTCGCATTGCCTTGGACCCTTCAAGGGCTTGGTCTGGCCAAAATGGGGGATGTAGACCATGACAGAGGCAAGACTTTCTAGTCTGGATGGGCCAAAGGAAAACCCTGGCTCTGACAATGTCCTCTTTGCCTTTTGTTTAAGTCAAGATCTCAGCTCAAAGACCTAGGCTGTGATAACTTGAAAAGTCTTTCTATGTGCTCTCTCTGTTTTGTGGTGAAGTCTGTTATGAAACTCAGAAAATGAGCATGGATGTGCTTACTTCTCCTGAGTTTGCTTTTCTAACTGCCCTAGCTTGGTATCAGTAAACCTGGACCATCTTAACTGCTCTGGCCAGGTATATGCGATGATCCAAGGAGCTAGGCCAAGTGGACTCTGTTGGGGAGTAAGGTAGAAGCGCAATGACTGATGACTCAAAACATTGTCCCTTCTCGATATCATAGGCAAAAATAATGAGGCCTTTAAAATAAAACCTGTGTTTGAATTTTGATGCCTTCATTTATTAAAACAATGTGGCTTTTGACCAACTTTAGAAAATCATGAATCTTCAGCTTCCTATTTATCATGAAATCAAGATAATCAGACTGGTCTTAGGGTGGATGTAAGTAACAGAAAGGGTAGTTCTTGGTAAGAAGGGTAAAGCCAACAAATACTTACTTGGCTGTAAGGTGCAGCTCAGAGCATTAAAAAAAGGACACTATTTCTCATGTTTCTTGGACTTACAGAGCCTGCATAGTAATAAACAACCATTTATCATTTATCCTTTGTGGATTCTGGAAAGTAGCAAATGACAAAAGTATGGAATTAAAGAGCTGAAGAATCTGGATTTGTATTCCAGCTTTGTCCCATTTTATAATGACAAGTTGTTTAATCGTTCAGAGCCACAGTTTACTCAGTTGTAGAAGAAGGAACATTGTAATAGTGCATGGGGCAAGAATGTCTAGAGTCGGTAGTGAGACAGTGGTTATTATGCTTTTATTCTCATATATATATATATATATATATATATATATATATATATATAGCCTAGAACTGGAAGGAACCATGTCTAGGAGTTCCTAAAAATCAGAAGGGATGCTGGAATTAGTTATCTATCTCCCTGTCTCCCTGTACTTGGGAAAGAGAGAAAGAACATGGCCTTAAAACAAGCAAGCAAGGGAAGCAAGCTAGAACCTGGAATTTTCTTGAAATTTTGTAGGCACGTGTGGGGAGTAATAATGATCAGACCTTTGACTGAGAACTTAAGAAAGGATGACAGTCACTTTAGGCTTTAAATCTAGGTTAGTACCAAACGAGGCTCTGATTTGTCCCTCCGAGGACAGGTTTGCAAAGAATCATCTTAATGGTACAACTTCAGTACATGCAAGTCCACTCAGAGAGACCAGGGAGCCTGATTCAGAACAGACTTTTTATAAATGCTGAGTAAGTGGAAAACCAGATAGAATTAATGGGGTGGAAAGAGACATTTGAAATGTTTTGTCTTTCAAAGCTTTGAGATATACACAGTTTGTTGTCATTACATGAGGATGTTATACACACAGCCAACTCTATTTTATTTCCCAATGAACTAAATTTTAATTCTTGTGTTAAGGTTTGATTTATTGGGACAGGGAGTTCCATTTTTGGTTTTATGGTACAGTATCATAAGTAGAGATACCAGTAAGGAGAGAACACATTTTTCTCAAGATTTCTAGGGATAACAGGTATCCCCATCAGTGAAAAAAAAAGATACTTTCTTATGGCAGAAATAATTGTATTAGTATTACTACATGAGGATATTACTGCAAGTTTGAAGGAATGGCAAAAGAGCAAGCTTAGAAACTAGACAGATGCAGGTTTGAGTTCTCATGCTGCTGTCACTTACAACATGAGCCATTCACCTTGCTTCACATCTCTGCATTGCAGTAATCACGTGTGTAAACAGGGGGGATAGTGGTGACCTTGCAGTGTTTTTGGGAGAAGTAAAGCTAATATATATTTGCTAGCTAGCAGGCCCTGAGTAAAGGATATTACTGTGGTGATGTTGTAAGAAACAACTGTAGGCAAAGGAAATAGGAGGAAACGTGAGACGCTTGTTCTCTCCCACTCTATAAGTTTCAAGGAGAATGGAGAGGAAACCCAACAGATATGGAACCAAGAAGCGCTGCAGACACCGTTTCCTTGGGGCATGTGTGGAGGAGTGTGTGCATGTCTATGGGTGTAAGAGGCAAAATTATGACTGAGAACAAAAAGGTGGCCAAATCAGCCCAGAGTCAGACTCCAGGACAGGTTCTCCATGCTCTGGGATTTGTCATCTCTTTTCATAAGGATCAGAACCAAGAAAGATTCTGTCACAGGATTGTACAGGGTTCAACAGAAGTGACACCTGCTTGAGTGTGGTTGGTAGGGCAATAATATGGGTGTAATGATTTATAGCTTTAATTTGAACATTTCACCTAAAATGCTGCATGGTGTGCTTGAGTGTGATACTGTGATGTGACAGAATTACATGATTATGATTTCGTAATAAAAAGGGGCCATGACTTGTGCCAGACACTGTATTTTAAATGCATCTGGATATAATCAGAACCAATTATAGTATTTAACACATAATAGTTTCATAATAATTGTAGAATAAACCAACACTCAGACTGAATGAAACAGTAAGAAGATCTACAGATTCTTGCCTTCAGAAAACAGTTGCTTTCAGGATACTCAGTGGCAATAAGTGCCACAGACCAAGTGGAGGCGGAGAAAAATCCGTGCTTTCTTCAGAGCTTAGGAAGGTTGCACCTTCAGTTATTGTAGAGGGCCAGTCCTACAAATAGATGGGGCATAGACCACTTAAATGTTCAAGTTTCACCAAATTTATGCTGAGCTATACATTCCTTGTCAATGCCTTATAATTATTTGAGGTTTCTTAACTCAAGACTTGTATTATTTGGGGTTCTCCAGAGAAACAGAACTGAGGATAGGTGTGTATGTGTGCGTTCAGGGAGATAGGGGGAGAGAGAGGGGAGAGATATTTATTTTAAGGAATTGGCTCCTGTGATTATGGACACTGGCAATTCCAAAATCTGGAGAGTAGACCAGCTGGCTGGAGAGTCAGGGATGAAGCAATGCTGTATAGTTCAAGTCTAAAGGCCAACAGTTGGTGGAATGCCTTCCTGCCTGGGGGAATTCCGTCTTTGTTCTTTCAACTCTAACTGATTGGACAAACCCCACCCACATTATGGAAAACAATCTCCTTACTCAAAGTCTACCAATTTAAATGTTCATCTTGTCTGGAAAAGCAACAACAACACCAAAACAAAAAACCCAAACAAACAAAAAGAAAACACCATCACGGAAACATTCAGAATATTGTTTAACCAAATATCTGGGCATCGTGGCCCAGCCAAGGTGATGCATAAAATCAGCTATCACAGCCTCCTTGAGAAGGGCCTGGATTAGGATGAGCTATGGTATCTGACGCACACTCTCTGTCAGAGAAGAAGAAGCCTCCTTTGCAAAGATAGAGAGGGGGCCAAAATGGGGCAGAGCAGAGAGAGCTATTGCTTATAAGCTGCCTGAACAGGGGGCCTCAGTGTGGTGTCTAGAAGCCGCCAGAGAGACGTGAGAATACCACCAACAAAAACCTGACTTAGTTTATAACACATGTGAAATCTAATGAACAATATAATCAAGCAAACAAAAGAGAAACAGACCACACTGACAGTTGCCAGAGGGAGAGGCGTTGCGGAACTGGGGAAAAAGGTGAAAAGCTTATGAAGCACAAACTGGTTGTTATAAAAGAGTCACAGGGATGTAAATGGTAGCACAGGAATTATAGTCAATAACAGTCAATAGTCAATGACTATGTCTGATGCCACAGAAGTATGGAAGTATTGGGGGGAACATTTTGTGAAGGATACGATTGTTAACCACTATACTGTACACCTGAAACTAATACAAAATAATATTGAATATAAACTGTAACTGAAAAATAAAAATATTAGAAAGAGATTTATACCAAGCAATCCATGTAGAATGAAACCATTGTCTCTCTTAATAAAAATAACAACCTACTGCTCCAAAGTTGAGAATATAGGGCAAATCTTCACCTGGAAAGGGAGGACCGGGCCTTGAATTCTAAAACCCTGTACACAGGACTGATCTTCACTTTGGCTGCCCCCAACACCTACCACTGCTTGTGACGAGGGACGAGGGAGTGCTCATTTCTGTTCACCCTGTGCTCACATCCAGTCCAGCTAGGACTAATTTGATAATTTTGGGAACCTTTATTAAAGACTTAGGGATGATTTTAAAAGCAAACAAATGATAATGCATAACAGAAACACCAGCTAGATGCCATGCTACCTCACATAATGCTTCCTCTGTGGAACCCACAGGCCTCATCGTGATTTGGGGGTCACCAGCGGGAGGTTGAACTCCCTCAAACCTGGACACAGACATCTCACTTTACAGAGTGCCGAGTCAGGACTGGTGAGGCTCAGAAACTGAGTTCTCCTTCCCTTGCCGTTAGTCTGAACTTCTTTTAGTTGTTGCAATGCAACCTACACAGGATTAAAATAAAAACAAATAAGAAAGAAACAAAACCCGTATGTTCCGCTCCAATTTGAGATGTGGGATACAACAGTTTTGGTACCTGCAAGCAAATTATTCCTTCCCCAACAATGAATTTCACCCACTAAATTTTGTCTCCCATTTCCTGGTGCACAGATGTCCTGTTTGCTTGGCTAATGGAAGACATGTTCTTCTCTTTCTTTGTTCACTTAACAGTAAACTGAGTAAAGAAACCGGAGACCATTGCTTTCTGAAGTGCAATCTCTAGTTAGTTTTTGCAGTTTAACATCTGCTTCCAGTGATATTGAAAAACTGAGTTCTTGAATGTAAGCATCATCAAAAACAAAGGATTTTTTTTCTTTTGCAAAGTAATTTTCTTTGTAAACTCGCAAATCCTTTGGCCCCATGGTTTGGCGGCAGCTTATATAGATTTCAAACTAAACTCAATTATATATCTGCCTTTAATGGTTCATAAACAGGTTTTCTTTTCCCTCCTGAGTTTTTCAATCAGAGCTTTGACCTGAACCCTATGCTGGAAGCCCTTAGACCCCACTCTGGCCCTTACCAGGCCATATCCCCCTCACTAGGCAGGGAGTGCTGGGGTCCAGAAGACCGGCCTTTAAAACCACTAACTTTTTAGAAAACCAGTCAGGGACACAGCCATACTGGACAAAGTAACAACAGCAGCAACGATGATGTAATAATAATAATCCACAGGTGTCATTCATTTATTACAATGTGAACAATATCCATCTACTTGAAATCATATTCTAGTCAACGTTACCTACCTTTCTGTTACATAAATGTTATTATTTAAACAAAACAGTGACCTATTTTACCTTGGCAGTTAGTAATGAGCTGAGAAAACATGATCACAATACCATGTGAAAAAATCAAACTCGTGCTATCTCATTACGAAGTACAACGTTAATCATCAAAGTCACAGGCAGACTGTTAACATTTAGGATTACAAACGCTGTGACTGAAATTGCACACTGGAGTCACATCCATTATTGAAAACCACAAATCACCGGTGCCAACATCAGCCATCAGGGGAGATCACTGGCAGTGACTATGGAAGACGGGTAATTACACCACATCTGACACTAATGAGAGCGTTCATTTCAGCCCCTATTTGGGGGGCTGTTATATAAATCTTGCACTTTTCCTTTAATAGCTTGGTGCAGGATCGGAAAACGGAACTTGTGACATCCTGGTGGAGGGTTTCTCGGGTTGGGGACTTTCAGGATAGATTTAGGCACGCCAGTGCGTCCAACCTGTTTGCCCTCCGTTAATTCAGACGACCTCCACCTCCGCCACCACTTCCTACGTCATACTCTGGGTACCTGAGCTCCAGAATACCTTGCCCAGAGGGCCTCAAGACTGCTTCTAGAACCTGCATGATGATCCTCTCTCCCGAGTTTACTCGTCACCGTG